ACAGGCCTCGACCGGGTCCAGCCAGGCCAGGGCACCCGCAGGGCGCGAGTGAAACTCCCGACGTGCTCTACGGGACAACAACTGCCCGGCAAACACTCCTGGCCTTTCTTCCCAGGGTGCGTTTCCCCCGCGGAGCCCGGCATGGCCCGTGTCCCGGTGGGAACGTGGGCGAAGGACAGGGCATCCCTTCCCGCGGTCGCCTGGGGACAGGCACGTCCCGGGGTGACACCAGCACAAACGCCCCCGTGTTTCATCCCACGGACACGCTACGAGCCGGAGCCTTCTGCGACAGGCACGCACCGCGACGACCCTCTCCTCCCCGAGCTGCAAAACCAAAGCTAAAGCAACAAGGTAGGAAGCACCGAGCGCCCGACTCCTCCAGCCACCCCTCCGAAAACATCTGTCTCCCTTTACGCCAGATGCAGCCAGCTTGGCCAGAGACGTTCAGCACGTCCATCCCACGGCAGCGTGTCCAAGGGCCAAGCCAGCCCGACCAGCCCCAGGGACGAAACGCTGTGAAACCCTCCTGAGATGGCTCAGCGGGCACCACCGCAGCGGCAGGCTTTGAGAAAAGAGAGCTACGTCCAAAGGGAGTTGGGAACATCACTTTTTCTGCCTCTAATCAGCTTGTTAGCAGCCTAATAACAGAGAAGCCCTGCATATTACAAAGCCCCAAAGTGAGGCGCAGCCTATTGTCGAATTGCTACTTGACAGCCAGCTTTCGGCAGCCCTAAATTATCCCATGACAAGCTGCAGTGAAGAGGTGAGCAACCTTGCGCATAATCTACAATCATTATCATTTCCATCTTTATTACCCACAGTATGCCGAGCACATTAAGGCGGCTTTTAGGGAGCGTTTGTTTTGCAATAATTTCTTAAAAAACCTGCTTTCTTGTTAGTATCTCCCCTGCCATCTCATCAAAATGGAAATGCCGTGAAAGGCTCCATTTATTTTCTTTAATTCTCCTTCACATATCCAGCCAGAGCTGGGTGGCTTGGTAGCGACTTCTTTGGTCGAGCCAAGGTTAAAGTTGCACGCGGAGACCTCGGCTCCACTGACCTCCTCGTGTTTTGATGCTCTGAGCAGAAACAGCTCTCCAGGAGGGACGTTAAACTTCTCTGGTGTCTACAGCAAAAGATCTCCTGGTCCTTCCTGCCTGGCCACCACTGGCCTTCTTGCATTAGAGGTTTCCAAAATCCATGGCTTCAGCTGCTCAGCATCAAGGGACAAATACTCAGGAGAAATTACCCCAGCCACCGTGGATGCGGAGAAGGAATCCAGGTGGCGGTGCCAGGGATTTCCGGGGAAGAGCAACACCAGGAGAGACTTGTCACAGGCAACTCTGCGCTGGCAGACACGAGCTCTTCACATTTAACAAAAGTGCAATTCCCTTTTTGGCAGGCAGGCAGAGGGGATTTTGGTCTCGTTCATGAGATTTTTTTTTCTTCCTCTTTGTTCTCGCTCATTCGCACCTGAGCCCAGAGCTTCATCTGGGCTGGCCGCACTCCCGGGGTGCCCGCGTTGGGACCCCGCTCCGTGCCGAGCACGACGGCCTCCCAGGCAGCCGATGAACGGGGAGAACGGCAGACAGATAGGCTGTTTCACCACACAGACCTGCCCCGGGATTATCTGGTCCTCGTCTCCACTGCACGCAGAGCCATGGTCAGAGTCCTGGCAGGTCCTGGTGCTCCCCTGGCTGGGGGCACTCGTTTCCCCGGTCCCCCTGCAAGACGGAGCCACTCGGTTCCCCGCAGCAGGGTTGGGTCCTCTTCCCTGCCACAGCCAAGCGGAGGAATTTGTTATTGGTGCCACGTTGCCAAACACACAGGTGTTAATTAAAATCACAGCAAAACAGTAATTGAGTGAGAAGGCACAAGCTGCAGCGTGACCCAGCGAGCGACGGAGAGCGCCCAGGGGTTGTGTCCTCCCTTTCTTTCTCCCTTGTCCCCAGCTATGTCCAGCCGGGAATTCAGAGAGTGTGTCCATCTCTACAACCTCCGTCACCAATTTAGCCCAGGGCAAAGGAGCTGGTTGGGCACGCTCAGGGTCCCTTTCCCCCACAGTCGGGGGTGAGATGTCCAGCCGCAGAGCACTCAGAAAGCACCTTCCTTGCTCCCTCCGCACAGAAGTGACACCGAGGCCCCAGATCTGCCCCCGCATGGTCTCCGGCTGCCCCAGGGACGCATCCTCCCCCCAGCCCACACCAGGAGCAGCAGCCCCAGGCAGCGGCGATCTCTGCTGCCACTGCCACCAGCCCTCTGGAGAGGGGCAGCAGGAGAACAGGGAAGGAAAAATGAGAAAAAATGAGAGAGTGAGAAAGAGAGAGGAAATGAAATAGAAAATACAAGAAAGAGAAAACTGAAGAAGAAAGCAAAAGAATGAAAAGGAGAAAGCATCAGTGGAGGGTCACAGGCAGTGCATTCTGGTTGCCATTAGAGCAAGAGGTTTGGAAATCAGCCCTTCCCACCATGACTTCCAAACCAGAGGAGCACAGAGAAGCATCCCTCCTTGCTTAGGACATCTCAGCCCCTCATCCCTCCAGCACAGACAGCCACCAGCCAAACCTCTTCCTTCCTCCCTTACCTTTTCTGCCGACTGTGACGTCCCAAAAAATATAGGGATGAAGGCTAACCACACAATGCAAGTAGTGTACATGGTGAACCCAATGGGTTTGGCTTCGTTAAAGGTCTCTGGGACCCCACGGGTCTTAATAGCATACACAGTGCAGGTGACCATGAGAAGCATGCTGTACCCAAGCAAACAGATGAGGGAGAGGTCCGAAATGTCACATTTGAGGATGCCCCGGGCAAAGTGGGGGTTTGTAGTCCGCTGGTCCTCATAATCAATGACAGAGTGGGACGGGTCCACGATAAACCAGATACAGACACCGACAAGCTGCAGTGAGATGAGGCTGAAGGTGATGACCAGCTGGGACGCAGGGCTGATGAACCGTGGGGCGCTCACTGATTTCTTGCCCTGCTCGAAGATGCGATAGATGCGGTTCGTCTTGGTGAGCAGCGCAGCATAGCTGATGCTCATGCCAAGCCCCAGAAAGATGCGCCGCAAGGAGCAAGTGCTCAGGTCGGGCTCAGCAATCATGAGGAAGGTGGTGGCGTAGCAGAGGAAGATGCCTGTCAGCAGGACATAGCTGAGCTCCCGCCCCGAGGCCTTGACGATGGGCGTATCGTTGTAGCGCACAAAGGTGACCACCACGAAGAGGGTGGCTATGATGCCCACGATGGCGATGAAGACAGGCACCACGGCCCAGGGTGAGCTCCACTCCAGCTTGATGATGGGGATGGGTGTGCAGCTGGTGTGGTTCTCGTTGGGCCGCTCGTTGAAGTGGCACCGCTTGCAGTGAAACTCGTCCAGCTGGTACTGGTAGCCGTCGCAGCGCTCGCAGTGCCAGCAGCAGGGAATGCCCTTCACCAGCTTCTTCCTCTCGCCCGGCTTGCAGGGCAGGCTGCAGATGGAGCTGGGGAGCTGGCGCCCGCCACCCGGCCATTGCATACTCTCGAGCTGTGGGACAAGATGGCAAAAGCCCTGCTCACCCACGGCAGACTCACATTTTCCTTCCCTCCTTAGAGCTGCAAAGCCAGATGGCCAAGCCCGGAGCAGGCCCTGCCGTCTGCAGGACACGGACACGCACGCTGGTGGTGCGGCGTCACGCACCGGACCACGAGCATGTTCCCGAGGGCCACCAACCCCTCCGGCACCCCGACCTCGGCTGCCGCGTCCAAAGGCTCCTCGCCTCCCAGACGGGCTCGCGAGGGCATATATCCCCTCTTCGGTTCCTGCTGGGGCCCCTCTCTCACGTTAGAGCAGAGGGATCAAAACCCAGGGAAACTCGGGAAAGCCGCGGGACGGTCCCCGCACCAGGGACTGCGCGGGCGCGATGCCAAGCAGCCCCGAGCCTTACTTTTAGGTGGAGGTGGTCGGTCCACTGCCCGATGACTTTGTACTCGGCCGTGGCGTTCCTGATCTGGTACTGGTAGATGTCGTAACGCCCGGGCGCGTCGCCGTTCTCGTTAAACGTCACCGGTGTCCCGGCAATGCCTGCAGGACAGGGGGTCTCAGCACCCACGGCAGGGATGGGGAAAAAACCCCAACCCCAAAGCCCCGGGAGCGGAGCCTGTTGCTCGCGCCGGCAGGAGCTCCCGGCGCCGGTGCGCAGGATCGCACGAGGCTGAGGGTAACTGCAACAGGCATCATGCTGCCGCTGCGGGAGCCCGCCAGCGGCCTCGGCGGCCCCAGCCCCGGGGGGCGCCC